GAACTTGCAATCCTTCCCTTTGTCACAAGTTCCTCGAATCCACATCCAACATACTGGCTTGTCATTCTTTCCGACAGAAGATCCTCTGGATGGTGATCTGGGTTTCTTGTGACTGAATGGGCAATCTTTCCCCATAGTGCAGTTACCTTTCACGAAGTATTTGCATGGTATCTTCTTCTTGTCTGTACTCGGACTTCGGCTGCGATCCTTTCCATCACCTTTACCTTTCCCCTTTCCCTTTTTGTTCTTGTCTTCAGGATGCTTCTTGGGATTGGGTTTCGGCTTCACTGCAGCAGCGTCTTCTGAGACAACCTGTTCTTGTTGCCCTTTTGGTTTCTTCTTCGGATCAGCTGGTGCAGCTTTCAGTTTTGGAGCAGGTCCGCCTGGTTTGAGATTCTGAAAGATATTGGCCACATTCTTCACTGCCTTCTCCTTTTCCAGGATCATCCTGTCTTCAGTTTGCCGTTCGATGTGCCTTCTGATCATATCACGTAGATGTTTGTATGTCTTCTTGGCATCATCGTCGTTCATGCTGTTGTAGGCGCTGATGTCGTATGCCATGAGGTTTGAGTTCCTGATCTTTCTCCATAGGAGATCCCGAAGAGTTTCGTCGCTCGGGACGTCAACGGGCTTCATTCCTGCCAGAATCTCATCCCAAGTGTGGAAGAACAACGATAAGTTCTTGTCTCCTTGATATTCTAGTTGGTAGAGGTGCATTGAAGTATATAAGACTTCCACATTTGATGTTGTCTTGAAATTCATAAGGATCAGGGCTAGGACCTCTCTTCCCTTTATGAGGCTTGATGTTCTCCCTTTTGCATTGATCCTCGTCCTCAACTTCATAGCTACACCTGAACCATCATCTTTCGCATCCATGACGACCTTGGTAAGAGCTAGGCCGAGTTTGGCATCGATTGAATGGAATCTTTGGTCTCCTGAGTCGACAAACTTGTCCGGATCAGGATCGTCCATGGCTTCTTTGATCCAGTCGATCCAGGGCTCTTGATCTGAATCATTGGCCGCAATGATGATCGATTGAATGAGATTTGCCTTCCATAGTCCAAGATCATTGATCCTGGGCCATGACGGAACGTTTATCTTTGATTCTTCCTTCCTCGATACTTTCATGATTGTAGAGGTTGCCGGTGCAAGATGAGATGAAGAGGAGGATGCTTCTGCTTCTGAAATCTTGTCCCTCAATGATTTGTTCGCCTCGGATAGCTCAATTGATTTCTCCCTTTCCTCGGCGTACTCATTGTGGGTTTCGGCATACCATTCATACATCTCATCTCGGCTCTCTGTCATTTCATTGTACCCGTCCTTGTAGTGCTTCGCCTCCTCTTTTGCGTTCCGAATCTCATCTTCCTCGGACGCGTGGGTTGGTAACCCGCGGTCTCTGGAACTAGGACGCTTGCTGTACCGAGAGACTATGGGTGCCATTCGTGCTTCTGCTTTTAATTTCGCATTTTCCATAATGACATTCTTTGTCTCCTTCTGGCTTTCCAATAGTGCATTCTCCAGTTCTCTGATCTTCTGTTGAATTTCAGCACCATCATCGCCGAACATAGGAGCTCTCATCATATTCTCTCTTTTCAGCTGTGCGTTGGCTTCGGATAGAGCGAGGTTGGCGTCTTTCAACTGTTGTCGTTCACGGATGGAACCTTCTAGGACTTCGTTGTTGAATATTTCTCCTTTTGCGATAACCTCCTTTGCGACGTTTGCTTCGTATTCATGGTGGCTCGCCTTCATTTCTGCCATTTCTTTAGCAGAGACTTCAGTCTGGCATACAAATATCTCCATCCTCATGCCCACTTCCATCTCTTCTATCTCCGCTCTCGCGTTGAGTTCAGCTCCACGTGCCATAGCTAGTTGACCTCGTAGATGATCAATAACCATAGCTTCCTGATTGCTCGGATCTTGAGATGAGTGAACACTGTGTTGAAGACGTCTTTCCCTGACCTCACTGTTCCATTGTTCTTCTCTCTGGTGTTGGATCACCTCGTGCATGTTGACATTCTCATTCTGTAGCGCAATCATTCTAGCTTGTATCTGGTCAGCTATTCCGACGAAGGCTGTGTTCTCATCCTGAATGGCTTTTGATCTTCTATTGATCGCCAATGAAGATTCATTCTGTTCTTGGATGTGTCCAATTGCTGCTTGAAGCTCTTGGGACATTCTGTCCTTCGTTGCTTTCACAGATTCAAGCTCTGAATGTTCTTGATGAGTTTCTTGTGCAAGCTCTTGATATCTCATGTAGATATGTTCAGCTGTCGATTCCGCCAAGCGTAGCTTGTGTTCGAGCTCTTCAATTCTTATTGTCGCTCCTTCATCTTCCTGTGTCATCTCTTGTAGATGTTCCTGCATCTTCCTGTTGTAGTCAGACATTTGCCTGAACTCCACTTCAGCCTCGTGGTGTAGTCGTGAGTATCCGGCTTGGATGCATTCATATTCTTCATGAAGAAAATTGTATGCGTTTCTCGCCGGTCTCAATTCTTCACCCAGCTGAATCTCTCTTCTTTGCTCTTTTGTTCCTCTATCATCGTCACGTCTTTTCTCTATACTCCTTCTTGGGGATCTCGCGGTAGACGTTATAGGCGATGTAGATCTTGTTGTAGCTCTCATCGATCTTCTTGGTCCTACGGGTGCAAGATCGGTCAGATTCCGAGCCGGTGGCACGGATCTTTCCGAGATTTGTGATCCAGTAGGCATAGTGATAACGTCAGCATTTGCTGATGAATCAGTACCCATTGTAGAGTCTGGTGACGAAATGGTGTTGGGACCACCAGGAGCAGCGAATGAATAGGGTTCGCTTCCATTTCCTCCTGAGCTTGACATTGCAGGTTTCTGTAATGACTAGTCTTGTTCTTGGTCTCGTGTAGCTCGTACGGCTATAAAGAGCGCGTACGGCTGATAACCTGCGAGTGGATCTTAATCAGCGAAGTTTGAAGCTATCACTGACGATCCATAAGCGGCGTAGCGTCGGAACGGAAACCGCACCTTTTCTAGTCGCTTGATCCTTGAGCCAAAGTACATATGGTACATATATATGTACAAGTTGCACTGTACGTGTCGCTGCACTTCCATTCGCAAAGAAGAACAATCAAGCAACATCTAAACCATTGATGCTCAAGAATGTTCAAACAATCCAGGAAGGTGGAAGCCTGGGGGGGACTGTCCCTGTCTCGTGCAGCCCAGGAGCGGGCCCTCTTCTAGCGTGAGCCTGGACATGAAGGCCTCCAAGGCCACTCGTTCTTGGGAGTTGGACTCCAAGGCCTCGTGCAGGTTGTTGCAGGACATGTAAATGGGCACGTAGACGAAATCCGCCTGGAGATCCCAAAGAGACCAAGAGCGAAGGCAATGTTGATTCTTACTTCCAGGCCTGTCCTTTGGATTTCGTGAAGGGGGGGCCGGCAAAAGTTTTGGTTGCTGACACCTCTCCCCGCGCAATTTCTGAACAACAAATATTGTGCATCATCTTCTTGGTAAAACTAAGATGGCCTATGCCTATACAAATTGACTGAACTAAAGCTGCAAGGCCAGGAATACCAAAAGGCAACACATGTTCTCACAGTTTGTTGCACCGGCTCCCAGCCAAGAACTCCTCAACAGAATCTGAGATTCTGCCAAACATTTACCTGCAAACCTCATGAACACCTAAGACATCATGGCCGACTTCTACCATATGAATATTTTTTCTATGTCTCTTATCTTTTCCTGCGTCAACATTCTAATTGCATGTCCTTCATTTTTTGTGTGATTTTTTTGGAATGCTGTGACTGAGGTTCGGTACGAGAAAAAATATGAAAAACATCATAATAAGAACATGACCCAAGAAAGGAAACAAATCCTGGTCGAATCATGTGAAGTCTTGTCCGCTACTACCCTGCATGAGTACAAACCTTAGGTGCAGCACCAACTTGTTTGTTTCGGTCCTGACCTCACTGACTTGGCTCACTCGACACTCGGCGCGGCGGAGGAACTCATGCACCCACACCTGGCGAGTGAACAGGCTGAGGGAGCTCATGGAGGATTTGGGTTCTATCAGGACGTCTCAAAAGTTCAGATGACCATCGCCATGATGGATACAGTACTTTCAGCGACTTGTCCATGTTCCCAGTCCGGCCACAAACAGGGTATATAACTCTTTTTCTACAGTCACTCAGTGCGTCTGGCCCAAGTACGGCCGTGTGCTGGTTACCAAACTGCTAGGAGCACACCTTGCTAAGTTGTTGGGAAAGTGTTCATTAAACCCCACCAGGACCTAAAATTAACAAACAGGATAAGAAACAAGTTCTTCTTACTTTCACAGAGTAGGCCCCCAAGAAATTACTCCACACTTTCCAGGGTCGTGGGGTGCATATATGATTAATCTCTTCAATGATCAAGAATTGGAGGCATCACCGCGAGAGTCCGTGAGAGTGATCAAAAAGCTTAATCCTCATCAGCTTCCTCCTCCTCCTCTTCCTGATTATCATAGTATTCTTGTTATCCTTCTTTATGAGCTGTGCGGAACCAAAAAACGCGGTGTCCGATCACCGCTTTCTCGCCCCAACGCCTCAGTGAAGCACAAGCCCCTCTCCGCACAGGACAAGGGATTGGCCCAGAGCGACTTGAACTCGGCTGGCTCCGCCACAAAGATTTTGGGCGATCCTGGCCCACAGGGCATTGGCCCACCTGCGCGATCGCACGGCGGAGGATTGGTGGTCTGGTGACACCGTGACGAGAGGGCGACAAAAGAAGGTTGGAGGATTTCTGGATTCATCCTCTGAGAAGGTTGGGGATGTGAACATATGATCAACTGAGTGGCTTCGGAGAGGGTATATCGTGGATAGTCCATCAACCCTGGATCCGCTTGCTATTCGCTTGTGAACGAAGGAATTCAAAACCCCAGGCAGCTGCTGCTGTGGACGCCTTGTGACGATGCGTCCCCATCTCATTGTCTATCGACGACTTATATACATACTCGACGGTTCTCAACTCCTTTTTGAAGTTGCTCATTGTTTATACTTACAACTTTCTCATAGTCATTACCTCTTCAGAACCCTCCATTTTTTGTGCATCCCATCCACCCAAACATATCCCCTTCGCCCAGAAACTGTTCGCCTGGCTTGGCCTCTGAGAGGAACCATGTGAAGTGGGACCAAGCGGCCCGATTGGTCTGATATAACCTGCGCCAAGAATCATCCCTTGGATGAACACTGACAAAGCAAATAAATTAGAGAACAACTACATGTAAAACATAACAGGGTTGTCTAGCATCATTGCCATCTAGGATCTAGGATCATCAAAACCTGGTCCAGCTGGCCATGAACTATAGATCAAAAACTTGGGAGAGCTGTGGGAAGTCTTGGATTCGTCACCTGCCTCATTGAAGTGGCATCTTTTTCCCAAAGCTACTTCTATTTTGCAGAATTGTTGCGGAACAACGGGTTCCATGTTTGTCCACGTGGAGGCGGCATAGGAGTAACTATGAGTAACCTGCAGCTGCAACCCCTGACAATGGCATGGAATAGCTTGGGTTCAGCTGAGAAACCACTTGCAATCAGCTTCAGCCTCTAACTGCTCGGCCATCCTCCCCGCCACCTCGAGTCCTGCCAGTCCAGGCACACGGCTTCGCTTTGTGCGTTGAAAATTGGTCCGAAACTGAGCGAAATTGACATTCCCGAGTGGTGAACTTTGTTGGATTGTTGCAACACTGTATCATGTAATGCTGTGCCGCACCTGACAAGTTCTGATTCTCTTTTTGAGCCAGGAGTTTGGCTGGGGAATGTTTGAGCAAACTTTACAAGCGACATATCAACTGTGATGGGACAGTTGATGGAAGAGTTCAGTACTACATTGCTACATTGGGTATGGGATCCTTCGTTGGGCACCCATCTGTGACTGGCATCTCACTACTGCGTGGTGCACTCTGCTTGGCAACGTACCTTATTCCTTCTGTTGCAGTCTTCTTGCCATGCGACAGTACCCTACACACTCGCGGAGCGCATAGCCAAACTGCTTGGCTTGCTTGGGTTCAGGAAGGAAAGGAGCATCCTCCTCCGCTACATCATACCAAGAGACCCCCTTACGACCCGCACAGGGTCCAGTGCAAGAGCGCCATCCTGCACATGTGTGTGTCTGGAACCAAACGTTGAATTCTCCACTTGTTGGGTGCTTCTTCATGTGAATTTTGTTCAAAGTATACGTCCCTCCTTTCAAAGAGTACACGATATATCCACCATCACCTCTGTCTTTGTAGTACATTCCCACAGGCTCGGACCTTGTCTTTGCAAGAAGCTCCTTGGTGGTTAGGTCCTCCGGAACACTCTCAGCTGTCGGCAACTGACTGGAGCACATCCCCTTCAAGCCAAACAATGCATGACGAGGATGGCGAGGACGTGACAAATCTGGAATCTGGACCATGATCCTGCAGCTCTGGAAAACCAACGGACTTCTCCAACAGCTCGTCCTCTGCCAAGAACAACTTCAAATCATCTGCATGAGCCCCGATGTCCTCCACAATGACACAAGCCGTGTCAAATGATATCAAGGTCTTGGATCCATTGTTGGGAATTTCCAGAGTATCAAGTCGCTCGTACAGTTGGCGAAAAATATCTGCGTGAGTGCCATTGATCTGCTCATGTATGTACACGGCGAGGCTGTGAATTGAAACCGGTGTCTCGCCAGAGGAGAATGTCTGGTGCCAACCTTTCTGCCATGGCTGCATTCCTGTGGACCACTTGTGGGCCAATGCCTTTCTGGGACGATCGAACAATCGCCACATGTCGAGCAGCTGATGTTGTGTGGCTTGGCTTCGCGCGGGTTTTCACCGGCTTCGTTTGCAAAAGCATGTTTCATGGGCAACGCAAGGAAGGAAACTATATATAATGAGATGTCACAACGTCAGCCACAGCTTTAAATTGAGGATTCATTCTTCTTTGACATAATTCCCCAGCACGTCCAACGCTGCTGCCAAAATTGAAGTCTTTCAGGGGTATGTTGTGGGCATGCTTCTTACAGCCTCCTCAAATAACAACCAAAAGAAACTACTTCCACAAACACGATGCGAATGATTCAGGATGGTCAGTCCACAGTACGTAAGTAGCATACACAAAAAAGAAAAAACACCCATTAAAACTCATATACAACCTGCAAACACTTACTGTGGGAGTGTAGACCCTAGAGACCCGGACAAGTATCAGTTTAGGTCTGTTGTCGTGGAATTCCTCCATCCTGTGCCATCCTCTGTCCTTCCATCGCCGACTCTTGCCCCAAGCGCAGCTCCAGCTGCGGCAGCACTGCCATGACCAGCGCGGCGGCGCCCGCACGGCAGCGTGGCCACAAGCGCTCTGCATGCTCGGTCACGCTGATGGTCCGGTTGGCGCAGCAAAGGGACCAAAGCTCCCGGGGGTCGCCATCCTAGGGGTCTAAGCCGGAAGCACCACGACTCCAGGCTGAGACTGGTCTCTTTTTGGAGTTCTCAGGTCGAAAGTAACAATTGATGAAGAACTGATTGCCACAAGAACGTGTTCATTCATGCCTCCTCTTGATTTAACACTTGAGGAAGTTGGAGGTCTGATTCACTGAGAGTCACTCCAAAGGTGACCCGGGACGACGTTCTGAAAACAACTATCTGGATACATTGCACATCATTGCGCCATCGGCCTACGTCCGGAAGAGTCTGGTTTCCAATGGCAATCATATTAGTAGCCCAGGAAGCCTGCACTCCAACAATCTTCAGCAAGGACCTACAATCCAACTCCACCCCATCAGAAGGCTCCAAACCAACTCCAAGGATGTGTTTTTTGCATGCCCAAACACCTGCTCGAAAGGTATGCGGACCCCTCGCTAGCAATAAATACCGTTGCTCCTCCTTCTTCCTCAAAAGCCTGACCTCTGGTCGGTAGCCCCTATATACACGCAGCGCCAAAAGAACAACTGGACACACTTTTGCAGCGTCTGACCAAGGCTCTGGAGGGAAGGGTTGCAACCGCATGAACTTTGAGACACTGGAGGCTTCGAAAAAGGCCTGGTTCGCATCGGATGTTCAATGAAAAAAGGAATGACCCTCTTTGCAGTCGGAACTGATTTGGGCACCAAACTGGCGCGCTCATGCCCGCTCATAGGGGGGAAGGGATCATCCCAGTCCTAAGTTAACCAAGTATAATCCTGACTGCCCCAATTTTGGTGGAAATTAATAGTACTAACCTTACTGCACCGGTTCTTGTTTAGTGAAGAAACCACTTCACCCAACAGGTTTTGAAGTATATGCACTGCGTTCCTAAACCAGTCTCGTCATGGTTCCTCATCCTTGCACATGCTGGATCCACTAAGCATCGCGAACTCGTGGGCCTTCCACTGAGCGCCGCTAATGCCCTCGGCGCCCTCACATTGCCCGGCCACGCTGGGGCAGTCTTCGCCGCCTGGCACCGGGGCACGGGTGGTTCGCCAAGCTAAACCGGGCATTCTGAGTCCTGAGATAGAATCTTGGATGCATTTCTTGGTCATGCGAGTGATGGACCAATTTCTGGCTAAAGGGACCTCTTGGGTATGGTCAGGGTCGGCCCCCTTCCTCCTTCCTTTCTGAAGCAACCAGGGGGGGGGCCGACCACAACCATTGATTAATGATATATTATGTGATACGGCCTGGTGCAGATCGTCGTCTTGGGGGTAGCCGCTAGGCACTCAAATCCTGGAAGTTGGATCAATTGGTTAGCCACAGTACGAGCTTGATGCAGCAACTCACAACTTTGTTGATTTACTGATGCCCTTTGATCAAATACATCAGGCTTGTCCATGCTTGTCCTACTTGTCTGATTCCATGCAGCACCTTGCCGCGTTTTCCTCACGCATATGCGCAGTTGGGTGGCCTGTGCTCAAGAGCTGCATGATGGCAGGGAGCACTGAAGCATCTCCTGTGCTCCCTCGTGTCATGAGGTCGTCAAAGTTCTCGGAGGATGCGAAGGAATCCCCAGAAATGCAACCTCAAGGAGTGAAGTCTATGTTGGAGATATGCAACTGGAACAATGCAACGCCTCCCAAACCCAAGGAGAAACAAATCTCTATTTGTAGTATTTCAGTGGGTTCCATGACAAACACCAAGCAAAAGCAACAACAAGCACTCCATTGTGTATAGGAAGAAAATGGCCATCGGGAGGTCAAAGGGAGATGCCCTCATTCAGCACTGCTGTGGACTTCTCTCCCATGATGTCCCAGGAGCACGTCTTGAAGGTGTGCATCCCATCCCAGCATTCCTCGTTCCCGTTTGGGCCATACTGCTCACCACAGCAAAGGCTGTAGGAGAAGCCCTCTTGCCTTACGCGGTCTTGGTGGACCAAACCTCACTCACGCCCTTTTATGTTGAAGTAAGCGATGCACTTCCAATATAGTTTTTTTGGGGGGACAATAGTGTCCCAGAAACAAGTACAAGCATGCGCAAACCCTGTTGGGGGCAAGCAGGCCGCTCAAAAGACAGAACGTAAGACTCAAAAACGAGAAAGAGAAGGAGTTGAGAACCAACCATCACTGACTGATATATGTATATATATATATCCACACATATACACATAATTTGGCATATGGGTCATGTGGGCTTCTCTATACAAATGACTCATAGTAGACTGAAGGCAAGCAAGCGCATCCGTGCCTACTTCTATCTGCTTCAACCCAACAGATTTCTGAAACAATTGGGCTTTAGGATGTTTAAGGACCAAAAACAAGTGATCGCAAGAACCTTCCATGCTTTATAGGATTGAGGAGGCCCCTCTGTTTGGGCCATCCACTGTTTACAACCACCAAAGTGTGGGATCCGGGTCTGACAAAATGAATTCATCCTGGAAAGTTGGATGGAGACATCCTTCAGCTTCCAAGATGCCAGCAGCTCGGGTTGCCTTCCCCAGTTACCACTGCAAGTAGTGCTGCTGGCAGGGCACAGTGACGCATGGCAGGTCAATTTGTCTGGAAAATGCACGCTTGGCATGCACGGTCGAGGTCCCGGATCATGAGTGGTCATTTGGGCTGGTTGCAAAGATCTTTGCATGCCATTTTGTGTCTCAACTCAGGTCCAACGAAGAACATGAAAACACCAAGCCATGTTTCTTCTGCCCTGCTGGATCAATGGGGTCTACAGTGTCTTCCATGCCGGGCCATTCTCTCTCTGTGGCGGCGGTCAAACTGGGCTGCGGGGATGGTACAAAAGGGGCGAAGCACCGACCGACCTCGCCGATTTCGCTTGGCTTTTCCCACTTAGAAGAACTGAAGAACTCACTCCATCCTCTTGGAGGGCCCGTGTCCCAATTGAAACACTACACCAACCTTTTGGAGGGCAGTCTCTATTGGTCTCTATATGGCGATGGCCATTGGAAATCCAGGTGCCTGTCCTTTTCCCGTCTCCAGTGGTTTACCAATGCGACTCACCGAGATATGTGCGCCATATTTGGGATATATTGATATTATCATATTATCATATGCACCTTTGACACACCTGTGCACTTGGTTGCACCTTCTAGTGAAACCAATGCGTCATCCTCAAGACCACTGGGCCCGACTGGCCATTTCAGGCCATTTCACTGCAGAAAAGAGTCTTTTCTGCAGCGACATCTCGCTCCAAACTCTCCAACTGTTCGCTTAGCCTGGGGCAGAAGGTGAGACGAGGCCGTGCCTGTGCTAGCATCATCTGTGTTTCTGAGTTTCCCTTGGCAGGGCATACTCCACCGTATGCCACATCTCTCAGTAGAAATTATACATGCATTGTGATCTTACAGTTTACAGTATACAATAAAGGATATACGCATGGGACGTATGATGACTTACGATGCCGGCAATGGTGTTGATAATTGAGCTAGATGTGTAAGCGGCATCCGAACTGCCCCCACCCATAAACACATGACAAACATCTCCCAGCAACTGGGAGCAATTGAGTCGTTTTATGGGCAAACATTACACTATATCGCACCTTCATCCCACACGCTGCGAGTAGGAAGTGACCATCAACAAACGTGAAGACCACTGGCAACACCACCTATAGCCATGTGGAACCCCCTTGGCAACGTGTCCCTTCTCTTCGGACATGCACGACACGACATCGGCGGGCGAGTCACGACGCGACATCAGCTGCTTTACTCTGCTCCTTCTCCTTGGGAGCGAAGGTATATGGTGTGGGGGGGGGGCAGCAAATTCTACTCAAACTCACACAACTTTGCCGTGTTGCTTTGCCAAGAGGGACCACGACGCATGCAGGTATGTGACTGTATGGCAAGAGCATTGGTACAAGAGCATTGATTTGATTGATTTGATTGATTGATTGACTGACTGACTGACTGATTCTTCATTGATTGGTTACAAAGCTTTGTTCATAGATTGCGTGGCACTGAGTTGTGCTCTCGGCCACGCTCCATTGGGATGGCCGGACTCATCCTTAAGTAGTCTTCCTCTAATGAGGTTTTTGGTGTTTCCGGGAGGGTGGGCCACCCAAGGTGCACGTCAATGGCTTTGGTTCCAGCCTTCTGAGCCTTCTCTGGACACATGGAACCCATATTTTGAACCCATTTGGGCCTGAACATCAGGAAGCCACCCGGCCCATTGCCGATCGTTCGTTCATCATAATAAGACTCAGAGTTCAGCCTCTAAAGTTCTCCACAGGAATTTCATCTGCTGAACCCTCCAAAGGTTACAGGATCATGATGTGATACAGTTGTGTGCCCATGATTTGGTGGCAAAATGCCAAAAGGCAAACTTGACAGCTGGCTTTTGGTCTTATGATCTGGCTCTTAGAAGCCCTCATCCTAACAAACTGAACAAGCGTCGCTCAGCTGCGTTTGAGTGGATTTGGTGGATGCAAGCTCGTCCTGGCACGGCCAATGGCAAGTGCTTGCCCATGCACCTCTGGCTCAAGACCACCCCTTTTCTAGTCCGTGGCAGTTACTTTGCCCATGTCAGACACGCGGTCGTCGTTTCTGCATATTCCTCCATGATACATTTGTTCGCCACTTGGCAAACGCAAAAAAGGTGCACTGGACCGTGTGAGTCTTCCAAATCAATTTTGGGCCCGCAGCAAGAACCACAAATCGGCTCGCAGAAAAAAACTACATACATCCGAACTGCAGCAGTACCTTCAAAACAATTGATTTTTCAAGAACCTGCTGAACACAACAAAATCTGTCTTCAGCTGCTACACCATCATCAGTCAAAAACAGAAACCAGTTCTTCGCTTCGCCGAATCAGCAAATTGGAACGACAAGTAGGGCGGAGGACTTCGTTGTTTGCTTTCTTGTTCCACCTTTTTCCTTGGATAAAACCCATCTCTGGGCGTCTCCAAAAGCACCCAAATGTCAATCCTTGCACATCTGGATCTTCAAGTCATCGTCCTCTTGATCTTTCTGCAACACCTGCGGTGCTGCCCATCGTTTCAACCACCTGCCCGCCCTCCCAGTCTGTGCGAGGGACTCTTTCATGGAGCGAGGAAAGAATGGGCAGTAGAATGGGCTGCCTTGAAACAGTGAACAGATGTGAGCATAGGAACATCAACCAACCTGGCGACCAACCTAAGTTGAGTTCAAACATGGACACTTCGCCCCACCGGGGTCAAGTCTGACTTCACCGCTTAAGCGGTGGGAGCCTGGGTCATGGAATCCACCAACTTGGTGATCTTGTTGAGTGGGCCTCAGTGGGGTTCCAGGGCCGCTCGGCCGAGGGCGCCGAGGGCGCACGAATGGAATTCCAGGTGGGACAGGTGGTTCTCCGACTTGCGCAGCTGCCCGCCACCAAGTGACAGAGAAAAGGAAATGAAAGGAACACAAGGTGAACCAAAATAAAGAAAATGGACTAACGAGTCGTCTAAGGAGATGCAAGGAGATCGATTCGCCACAGAGTGGGAGGCCGTTCAGGGTGTGCGGGGGAACGTCTGGACAGACGGACAAACAAACTAACATGCCCCTTTCAAGACCATTTGGCATCTGGAGTTGAAATAAGAGTTTGCCAAGCACTGTCAGCCAGCGGGGTTATGACTTCTACACACTTGCCGGCCCATTCTGATCATTATGGCAGCCCTGTCGGCCAAATGAAAGCGGCAAACGGGAAGCCCTCCGAAGCGCCCCATCATGCACGGCAGCCCGCACAATCAATGTACATCCACCACCTTTTTCCAGGATTACTGTGGACTCTTGATGACTAAAAATGCCGGAGCCTGAAAAGATTAAACCCATCCACGTCTGGAAGGGTGCAGCCAGTCAGGAGTATCGGTATCAGTATATACAATATTTGTCAGGCCTTTTCGCTTTTGATCTACCAAGCGGCTGGCCTTGCCTCTCAGGGCGCGCGCATTGGACTTGCGCTCCCTGATGCTTCGGTGCCTGCGAAGCCATCGGAAATTGGTTAGCCAGTACCGAGCCACCCAGGGAGGTTGATTCCTGTTGAACCAAAGATAATTGCCCTTGGTGTTTGATATACTCCCACTTGCAGTCACTTGCCATGGCTGCCCCAAGATCAGGTCTGGCGTCGCTATAATGGCGGTATTATATTATATATATATAATGTGTTTGATTTGCAGTGAGTGAACACATGTCAATCCCAAAACATGGGCATCCATGGCTATGGCAGCTAATGAACAGTTATGGCATATTGAAATATTGAGGGTGATTTGATGGCACAACAAGGCGGCCCTCGTGTAGTGCAACAGCACCAAGTAGTAGCACCAACAAGTACAGTACCCCAAAACGCCCGGACCGAGCACGCCGGTGACCACTCGTCGCACGCCGCGTTTGCCTCTGCAACACCTGCATGAAGGTGACCAAGGGTTCAGACTGGCTGGGCTGGAAGGCGACCAAGCCAGTGCCAGCCAACCTGAGAATTGCACTGGGATACTGGGATCATACATCAGCCTGAAGATGCCTGAAGACAAATCATCCAGCTCTCTGGTAGGTATCTTCGTTTGCCTTGTAAATGGAATGCGCTGATTTCGTACGACGCTTATTTGCAAGTCGGATGGGTTTTCATATGATCTTGTAGCAAAACTGCAATTTTCTGCAAGTCCAGCGCCATGACTTCAGTCATGTCAACCACAAGGTCTTGCAACCACGGCACTCTAGGGCGTTGGAGGCTCGATTCTAGGTGCGTTCGTTGAAGGTGTCTTAATGCGAAGCCCCCGAAAGCCGACATCTAGTCACTACTCTGACTCTTCCTCCTCTTCTCCAGGCTCTAGCTCTGAGACCCTTGACTCAACAAGGCCACCAACCAGACTCAGGGGTTCCACGAACCTCTGAGTCGAAGCCAAGACAATATAACCGAAATTATCCCAACATACATACCTTCACTGGCTTTGGGTGAACCTCAAGCCCCGCACTTCCAACATATTCCAACATTCCAGAACTCCTGGGGGCCGCGGCGGGGGGTCTGCAGGTTTGGCGATTGTTTTCCAAGCAGTTCCCAAAAGGGACCTGGGGATCACTCAAACACCGCAGATCCGCGGTCTCCCAAAGGCGCTTGGCAAGGGGTTCAAGGGCGTTGCGCGTTTCGTTCGAGTTGCTTTTGCATCCTTCATGGCAAGACACAGTAGCTTGGAAGCACTTTGGATGGACTTGGTCTCCTCCTGCATCTTTACCTCCCTTAGCGAGTGGCAGCCCTTGCCCCAACGACAGCATCACAATTACCCTCCGACACAGCAACTCCACATGTCTTGAAGCCTGTTGGAGATGCAAGCAGGTTGAAGACAATCGTGGTCTGAGAGACATGTTTTAAACTTCCAAACGATCCCACTTTCATTACAGCAATTGAACCCATTTGAAGTGGAGATTCCCGGCGACAACACACATACGTACTAATCAATGTCAACATCACCGTGGCGAGGTATCACCAACCCATACTCCGGTCCCAGGCGCATGTCCGCGTGCTCCTTGCGGCGGAGATCACACCAAACCTTCAGCGACTTGGTCAACTTGTCTGCGTCATCCACCACTGCCGCAGTGTCCTCCGCGAGCGACCGAGGTTGCGACGTGCCACCTACGCCACCGACCAGTAGCCGCTACCCAATGGCTCGTCCAAATGGCAGATACCAGGCCAATGCACCAAATCAACTTTTAGCTGTGCTCTTCGCCCTATGAAAGTTGTTCTCAGGGGCTGGGCATAACAGCGATTGAAGCTCCCTGATGCACCAAAAGATGGTTCAATTTATTATCGATCAAGACACTCCATGTATGGCATATTTTCATAGTCAATATTCTATCACACGGAGTGTCTGCAAGCGGCACCGGCCACAGCCACCCAGCCGGTCCTCGCGTTCCAGGCGCAGCAAGGCCAGCTGCTTTTGGAACCCCGCGTCCCGCTCCTTCTTCTCCTGCAAGCTCCTGCACAGTATAGTGCCGCTAGGTGAAGAAGGCACGAAGTTCTGTAAGCTTACACTCGTCATGGATGTGCATGTGTGCAACATCTGTGACATACCATGCCATACACCATCTACAGTCCCCTTGGCAATCACAATCCATAATTATTTCATATTATTTCCATTCCTATATTGCAGGTACATCCAGCCAGGCTCTATTCAAGACTCTATTCTCTCACCTGCCCACTCCGTTGACAGGGATGGACTCATGTGACACTTTTCTTCGTGATGCGCTGCAGATATGTTTAGATCAGCTACTGTATATCTCTGAACGAGGTGTGCATTGATATATCTCACACCATAGCTGCATGTCTTATATCAAATACAGTATATATATTATTTGTATAGATCACCCGCTCTCCTCTGCAAGGACTGCAGCTCTTCTGCTTTTGCTCTCCTTGGAGTTTGGAGTAAGTGGGATCTGATTAGGATGAGTCAAAGACTTTGAGGCACACTCAGTCAGTATATTGTACATTTTAACAGAATTATCAGGGCTCCTTTTAGGACCCATCGCCTCCAAGCTGAGCGCCCCAGCTGCTGGTTTGGAAACATGAATCAAGCTTCATCAAGCTTCACCAACCTTTTCCACCTGCTTCACCAAGAGGGAAGCCATGTTCTTTCCCATTCAACGCTTCGGGGGCTGATCCACTGCTTGGGGTCGGTCCACACCCTCCAAGGAACTCCATGGCTTCGAAGACCTTCTTCCTCTTGGCCTCCTGCGCCTTGAGCTCGGACAGGTCTTTGCTCACACCCTCCTGCCGGTTCCATCTGAGCGGCAGGGGGAGATGTCCGGCGTGCAGCTGTAGGTTACGGATAGAGATCCCGTGGAAAAAAATTGTTTTGCAAAATATTCAAAAAAGATCCAAATACATATCGGGTCGTGGGGCTTGAGGCGATTGTCTCTTTGACTGGCTGAAGCTAAAAACACAAAAGCCACAACTGATTTTTCCAGTGTGTCAAGCATAGGGATCCCTAGTACTACCATCAGTTCACACCTCTCACTCAGATTGCATTGAGGTTGGCTGTGGAACACTTTATATCGGTGGATGATGACTCCTCCAATCCAAACAAACAGATCAAACAGCAAGACCAACCCCAAACTGGCCCCAAACCCACCAAAGAGTTTTACTAACAGAAACATGTTCTGCCCTCATGTGCAAGTCCAATGGTCTCCGGGGCCTGTCCATGCGAGCGCATGTGGACTCGGGGGTGACTCGATCATACCTGGTGACCAGCACAGGCAACTTCTTCTGGGGCCACTCCATGATGAGTGAGTCGACCAATTCGGATCTGCCAAACAAGGTTTATGGGGTGGTAGAAGCTCGCAGAAGATCATCTGGTCACCGAAACGGGCAAACATCAGCTCCAGCATGTTCTTCAGCATCTCCTTAGATTTGGGCAGAAACTTCAGCACGAAAATCCATCTGTGCAATCATCAAAAACAAACACAAAGGACGACAAGAATCAAACAGCATTGGAACCAGGTGTGTTGTGTGGTCTAAGTCTTGGGGGCCAAGCTCTTTTCAACTTTTCCGTGATCATTTCAGGATAACATCCACCAAAAACACCATGCCCTTCCTGTGAACGGAACTTCACGGGTGGACCACGGAACTTCACGGGTGGACCACGGGCCGCCAAGGTGCCAGCACTTGGATCTTCTGCCCCTCGGTGGCGCCAGGGTCCTGCAACAACTCCAGCAACTCCGCGCTGCCTTAGAACCAGGGGAAGGACTGTTGAAGAAAGCGATGTCCCTGGGCTGCTAATGAAAAAGGATATGATAGGGTGTATCGGGTATATTATATCAATTTTTCAGAATTCTATGATGCTATGGAATCTATGGACATGTGGAAATACCTATAAATATGTGGATTAATGATGGATTAATGACATGCCGTGAGACATGGAAGTTCATCAAATATAAGGGGCGGGTCGATGCTGTAGCAAGGCTTTTGGCCTTTGCACAATGACAATGCAATCTGAAGTCTTTGGATCGCTATTCTGTACATGGCATTCATGGCCAAAACCATCCAAACCTGGCAAACTTGATGCCACCTGGCGCGCTTCATCCCCCAAGATCCGCAAATCCGACTTCCAACCCGGCTCACCGCTGCGGCCCGGTCTCACACCCCAGGTCTGCCCGCCGATCGCCCTTTCTTTCCGTTCGCGGAGCGTCTGCCCGTGAACGTCGGGTCTCGTGAGACGAGCACAGCGTCGCCGGTGAACTCACGCGGCAGTTTCTTCCCCATAGACGTGGACTTGAACTTCGCTTTCGTGAATGGTAAGTATCAACAACCATAAAAGTTCGATCTGCGCATATCTGCTCCTCTTGGCATTGGGGCCAAAAATGTGGAACTGGTACTCTTGCGTGTATCTTATATATTCCCCTCCCTTTATGGTTGTTGATGGTCACGATTCACCTAGCCTGTACATTTCACAAAGTCCTTGAAGCACAAGCGCCCATCTTCGTCAGGGAAGCTGCAAAGAATCTCCCGCTCGATCTCATCCTGATCTAGCACCTGCATATGATTATGTGTTGCAAATGTGGATCAAAAATCCCATGAATCACAGGCAATCACACCTAGCAAGTCTACTGAGACATGTAGCAGATCTGGATGGCTGCCACTCTCCACTACAAACCGGCATCAAATCTAGCACTTCCTATGCCATCCAGTGTGCATTCTTGTTCTTGTGCAGCAACATCAACCATTATGATGTGCACCTTTGAGCGTCGACGCATTTGCAGGGGCGGTTCAGGAAGGTTTCACCCATCTTCAGTGGCCACGATAAGGTCCAAATACCCTCACCATGCCCCCATGGCCATCTATGGCCTCTGCCCAAATCGCATTATAGAATAAAATAACATGAGAAAACGACCTAGACGTTGAAATCCGTGACTGTGAGAGCCAAAGGCGCTTTTGGGAGCAATTGGCACAAATCCTCAGCCCGGATGTAGCCATTTCTCTGTACGTCCAGCGTATCAAATGCCCGTTCGGCATGGCACTGCTGGCTGTACCAATCGGCCGGTGCACCAGCGGCCAGCCATTCGCAATAGGAGAGCTTGCCATTGCGAGAGACCTGGAGAACCCTCCGTCTGAGGGATTCTGTTGCCAGGTGGTCAGGCGCGACAAACAGCAAACCCACCGGAGAGGTTGGAGGGTTTCCCAACAAATAAGTGCTTTTTGAGTGTTTGTGTGCATCATTGTGCATGTTTGTTGTCACATACGCTCCTACTGAGCTGGGAGTCAATAGGACAACCCGGTTGGCCAAGTTCACACTCCAGTACGTCATGTTGAATTGAACATTGACCAGCTTCAAATTTGCTAGAGTCAGTCAGCTTTCCCATGCAAAAATACCTTCTGGCCTGGCCTCTAGCAAAAAACAAGAGAAACTACTCAATCGAGCTGGGTCATGTATCGTCATCTGATACACTTTGCCTAAACACCTTTCCACCCTTCTCTATTTGCTTCGAAAATCACTCCTACCATGTTGCGCTCAATCTCCCAACAAGCGGCATTGGCAGCTGCAAACATCTTGCGAAGCTCTTTCGAGGTGAAGCGGCTATACCTGAGATTTTTAGAAATTAGCATATGCAGCAAACCGTATAACACAGATCGAGCTACCAAACTTGGGGCTAAACGTCTTGCCAAGATTTGTGTTCTTGCGTTAGGGTCAGCAGCCTTTGGGGGTTGAGACCAGGTCTGAGGTCTTAAACAGCCACCATCAACTGGGACATACTTCTTGAAATTGCTGGCTCGACTAGGGGCCATCTACCAGATCTTGGGAAGCGTTCATGGGGCAAAAGTGAAGTGGTGGCAAGGTCAAAGGTCGTCCGTGGCCATATTCAGGAAATGATCATGCATATTCATAAACGATCTATGTAATAATCTGAAGCATTGATATACAGTAATGCTGCAAAACATCGTGACATTTTGGGTTCTGGTACTAACTTCACTACCACCACCCCAAAACATGGTCAATCTTGAGAATGAATACCGCATCCCACACATCTGTGGGAGGCGTCATGAGGCGTCCCAACCAAAACCGTCGGGTCTTGCGGGGAAGGTTAGGACCAAGGAGTAGGAACAAATCGAAGATCAAGTTGAATGAACACCTTGCCACCTTGCGGTTGGAACTGGTCTTGACCTGTGTCCGGTTCTGTTGGACGAGATTTGGAAGGGGCTCTTCAGATGCTTCCACATGGCAGTAGGCAGGTCACTTCAGGTGGTTTCTGGCACTAGGCAGTCGATCTAAAGGGCTCTTCAAATAGTTCCACATGGCAGGCAGGTCACTTTCGCCCAAGCTCCACGAATTCAAAGCAACTCACCCCAGCGGACTTCCCTCGATCTGCGACGAGGAAGGCTGTGCGCAACTCCTCCATGTGGTGGTTGTGAAGCCCAGCGAAGGCGACCATGCTGTACCTGGGTGGCAGTTTCATATGATTCCAAGATATTCCAAGTGATGGGTGACAGGCAAGATAGATAGATGATAGATGGGACAAGTGCCTCAAATTCGAGAGCTTACGTGGGTTGATGGATGGTGCAACCTGGTTCTCCTGTTCATCATCAGCAGGTCACAGCTGCCATTCCTGGAGATTCTGGCGTTGCCATACAAATACTGCCACAAATTACCCCTCCAAAGCGGACAAACAAAACATATTCGCTATACCCCAAAACCGACCCCCGATGAACTGCTCTGTTCCGTTGTTGTTTGTCTTTTCCATTTCGAGTGACCACGAAATGAACCAAAAGGCTGAAAAACAAACACACATCAAAACATGCTCGGAACATGTCCTGAATCGAAACGAGGCACATGATGGTCTTCTGCAGCTGGGTTCGTTGGCAAAAGTCGTGCATCCGCCGAAAGCAGCGCTCCAGCAGGTCTGCCATGGATTCCACCGGTCCATGCCGCGGGTTGTGGAAACCGCCGCGGTCGAACCAGGGATGTTGCAAGGCTTCGGCAGCCGTGGGCCTCATCTCTGGCTCCTCATGCAGCCTCGGAAAAGAGTTGGTTGTTGGAAGTTTGATGAAGTTTGGGATGCCTCATAGTAACTTGGCCAAGCCATTTGGTGCCACACGAAGCCATGATCAAGCGGGTGTTTGTTGACGGTGCTCTAAGAGCCCAACGCCAGACAGCCAGGTATGACTTACGAAAAACTCCGAAGACTCCATGGGACTGGAATATTGACACTCCCTGGAACTAACATGGAAGTGGATGGCATGGCCCCTTGGAAGACCATGTTCCAAATACCCAACAGGCCACTCCACTTCCATGTGAGTTCCAGGGAGAGTAGCTACGCTACATCGACCCCCATTTCAACCACCCTCACTGTCACCGGTCGGTTAACATGCCAATATAGATGGAGTGTCTGGGATCACACACTATGTCTCAACAGCCCCTTCATTCGGGAACCTTCTTCATACCAATTGGATAGGCTTGGAGGTCGATGCGACCCAATCATTGATCAAAATCATCCAAAACATATTAATTATGCTGCTTCAAGGTCAGGGGGCAAATGCTCCATGAGCGACTGGCAATCTTCCGAGAGCTGCATATAGCGCACCTTCCCAGGGAACTCATAGGTGTTTGTGGCGCTTTTCCAGCTGGGTGGTACGCCAACGATCATGTGGTGCATTACCTTGCTTGCTCACATCAAGTCTGGGCAACAAAAGCCGCCCCCGGTTCCCTCGAATGAAAAAAATACGCTCTTCTACCGGGCAGTTGCCGAGTTATTTTTTTTTGGCAGGGAGTCAGTTGGTATAGTATTTTGGAACTCTTCCAAGTACTTCCAAATATGTCCAACCTTTCTGCATCAAAAGTCTTGGCTCAAAAAAACAAGTGGTTAGTACAAGTCTTGGGCGACTTGAGCCGAGCCAAGGAGTTCTCAGGACGTCGAAGCTCGGTCACGATCGGTCACGGGACCGAGTTACTGCTCCAATGGAGAAGAGGTCTGCCGAGCGACCATCATAAGGTCGAGAGCCGAAGACCTCCCAGGTCGCAGCCGTTGGGTTAGGGACACTGACATAGTAGGTAAAAGGATCTCAATGTCCATCCATTTCCTGCTCCTTCGCAGCTTGGGCCCCTTGGGTCGCTTTCAGAGTGCCATCTAGAACGTCCCAGTCACCTTTATCGGTACATTGTTCCGGGTGCAAAAGAACAACTGCAAGCCGACTGGACCACACATTTTGCACCTCAAAGGCCTCAAAGGCGCCTCGTTCGTCGCTCCCATCTTTGCCAACCTCCGCCCCTGGGCCTCCCACTTGCTCCGGTCCCCTCTCGTGGCTTCGTTCGTTGCTTCGTCCCGCCTCAGGTGCCATGTAGCCCACGGTCCCCGCGCATTTCGTCAGCAGCCGCTTCTCCGGGCGATCGTTCCTGCGGGGCGAGGACCGGGCGAGGACCCCGAGGCCGGGGTGACGGGTCGGAACGCGGCGTTAGCGCCGGCTCGGGAGTCCTTGATCAACTTGGGGAAGTTTACATCTGGATGGGTGTTCTGAAACTTAGCAGTTGTGGAAACCAGAGTCAACCAAATCACCGACCCCAACAGCATGATGTGGAAGATGCAGGAACCGAACTGACCTGCAAGGGTTCGAAACAGGCTCTCCCGATCGAAACTCCCCAGATCTCCCAAGCACCCGAAGTGCTGACACTCTGACGGTCTCACATCACTTTCGTCAGTGGAGTTCACAGCTTGGTTGGTAGAGGAAGACGCATAGTCTTCCGGACCATGTTCATCCATGCCATCCACTTCCATGTGATGTTTGAAGTCGGGTCGCGCCACCATCCCTTCCCTCCGTGCTGTTTCTGCGCCTCAAGACCCCTGCGATACCGAAGTCCACGAGTTTCAGTGGAGCGTCTCCATGGCCGCTGCAGGAGATGGGGATGGCGCTCCCCGTCTTCCTCATGGGCGCGGCACCGGACGCGTTCAACATGCCCAGTGTATAAGAGACACCATAGTCACAGAAACCATGTATGAGGAGCCGTGTTTGGAACAAGGTGTTGAAGTATTTTGAAGTCATCATGTTCCAAACACGGCAGTGGATCATAGGGGAATTCCTGACTCACAAAAGACTGAGTCTCCGGGACATGAGGTTGCTATAGTTACTATAGTCGTTGTATGCTAGTTGCACGAGAGATCGAGTGATCAAGTTTGGCGCACGTGTTCCCCCCAAACAATTCCCCATGCACATCCCCAACTCCCTCAAAAGGTAAACGATGATATAGAGCAACTTTGGTCTCATTATACCATGTTCACCTGCACCCTTAGGACCGAAACTTCCCCACACGACCTTTCATCACTTCTGCTGAAGAAAAAAAAGGACTTCCTGCACCACCTGCCTTGGATCTCCCACTGTTTTCTAGAAGGTCTGCGCCTCGCTGCATATATCAACCCCGATATGCCAAGATATCCCAAGGCATCTTTGTCGGAACAAAGATGGCGAGCCCAGTGACGGTGCGCCGCAGCTGAAGAGCAGATTCTGGGGTTTGATATCCCGATGGGCCACCGAATGTGCGTGACAATAGGCGATGCCCTGAAGCATCTGCAGTGTGATGCGTGCCAGTTCGTCTTCCGAGACACCCGGCCTGAAGCGGATCGAGGTGGATTCGGGATGTGGAATGGGGGAATGGAAAGGCCCCGGTAGGCAGTGGGCGTACAATATTAAAGGGCTTTGACGTAGATGATGAATGGACCGGATGTATATATGTTCCGTGGGGAGTGGTGAGAGAACCTTCGGATTTCTACAGTTTGCTTCCTCAAAGCGGACATGTCAACCATCCACACCACTCGCGAACGATCTAAGTCCTTACAACGAAGAAGTGGCTCATGAATCAACCAAGTAAATACTCAGATTCTCTGCAAAAAGCGGTTAAACAAAGAGCTCAACAAATCCAGTGATCCTCAATGATCCTATGCTGTCCAAAGATCCACCAAGCGCGCATAATCAATCTCTCTATTTGGGATGGCTTAATTACCTCTCTGCGAGCTGCTGCTAGCTGAGTGGCCCAAAGTCCTCGTGGGCATTTTGGATGTACTGAGCGAGAGAGCCACCTGACCGACCAAGCGAAGCTTCTTCTCGGGAGATCTGAGGGAGCTGTGCAAAAAGTGGAGATCAAGAGGAACGTGATGGAACATGTTTTGGACCACAAATGGAGGCCACCAAAACATAAGGAAAACGTGCTAAAATGTTCACTCTGGTGTACCCTCCACAAAGACCAACATGTCCCCCACACCCTGCAATAACACATCCTCTCCCAAACCCTCCAGCAGGAGGTTCACGGCAGCCAAAGGCTTATTCGACAACATGTTTCACAGAGGTGTGCGCTGCTGCCATGGCTATACTATATGCTATGCTATACTTAATTACTTGTTTCGGGGGTTCTTAGTAGTAGACTCTTCAAATCCCTCGGCGCTGTCCCGGCAGCTAAATATATAAACATAGAACAACTCCGGCGTCCAGTGAACCTCACCTGAACACATCTCCATCACCAAATGGATGTCGTGAGCATCCTCAAAAGTCTCGTAGTAGCGCACTGTGTTGGGATGATCCGACATCTTCAGGAAGGCCACTTCCAACTGCAGCGCTTCTTCATCCTTCAGCTGACTCTTGGCAATGCTCTTGATGGCCACCACCTCCCCCGTGCGCCGGTGCCGTGCGCGCAGCACGGTGCCGAAGCCGCCCTCGCCCACCACCTCTGCGAAGTCGTAGAGCTCTCGAATCGAGTCCGTGCGCAGCAGGCGGTTCCCCTCTTCGTCGCGCACGCGCTCGTGGCGGCGCCAGGCGATAAAGGAGCCTCTTTCAGGAGGGAGGGTCAGGCGCTGGAATCCAGTGTTTGAACATGTTTGAACTGGGGATCCAAAAAACTTGCTGAACACGATTGAACACTGGCTGGGTTGATCTGTTTGTCAAGGACGATTTTGCCATCGCCGGTGCTCTTTGGCCACCAAGGGGTGAGTGAGGGCTGCGAGCTGTGACCAACTAAGAAAAAGCAATGGATAACGAACAATGAAGGAGTGAAAGGTGGAGACCCTCATGCAAAACCTCCTGTCTTGTCCTGCCTCGTGCAAAGCCTCCTGTCTTGGGTCCAGGGACGTAGCGCTTGAAGGCACCTCAGGGAATTCTTAGCCCTGCATGCCTTCAAATTCATCACCACACTTCCCCCCGCTTTTCGGATCTTCTTGGCCAAATGCCTCCAAATGTTTGGGGTAGGGGTTGGACCCATCTCCAAAGGACAGTCCGGCCCAGTCCATACACTTGATATTATAAAATAAGTGGATCTCTTTGATGTCTTCAGGTTCCCTCCTCTTTGTGTTTACCTGAGCACCGGTGCCAGAAACTCCCAGAAAGCGACGCACAAGTTTGGAGCATCGAAACATATACCCTTGAAACATCTGAAGATGTGAAGAACAAGTCGTACGTACTTCCGATGTTTGGGTATATCTCATTAGTGCCAGCAACAGAATCACTTCTTGCGGACGGTTGATGTTTTGACAGACATATGTATAGACTGTTGATACAGAATGGCTTTACATCCCGATCATATCCATATGAGGTGTTTAAAACCATGGTTGGCGCGCCACTAAGGGGCCGTGCGTTTGTGATGTGTGTTGTTTCTTTTTTTAACGTCCTGTAGCAATTGTGTAATTTCCCACGGTTTGCATGTTTTTACGCGGAGTGTGTTTTTGGGAGGTTGCAAAAATGCTGTGAAGGTTGCTCGGAACCTTCGTTTTTAGAGGTTTCCCTACAGTTTCAAACAGTTTTGACTATAGTCCAAAAGTTTAGAATGATTTTTTACTTCTCTAGCGAATTGAAGCGAAAAGCGAAACGAAGCAAAGCGAAGCGACATGCATTACAACAGGCGAAGCGAAGCGACACGAAACCGCCTAAAAACAGAACAACCCAAAGGTCCACGGGCTAAATGCGTACTTTTCGCACTCACTGGACTTGTCCACACGCGTGGCCCAGATCCTGGAACCTGGAACAAGCTTCTTGTAGAGGTTTGCAAGAACCCCACCCCACCCCACCCACACCCCACCCCCATCCCATCTATGATGTAGCGTCAAGTATGTTTGCATGCACAAGTGACGTCAAAGACACAAAAGCCAAAAATATGCATAAACACCCGGCCCCCTACAGGCGCGGCTAGCTAAAACATCAAGGGTCTACATTAGTGGAAATGGGACAAACTACACCTGGACCCTATGTAAAATCTATAGTTCGAATCTAAGTTTTCACGAAGTGAGGAGTCCCAAGGAAGCAAATGGTTTCGATTCCACATCTCAAGGAGTTTGGCTTCAATTGTATAGTTTGTTCGTGTCTTGACCTCTGCCAGCAGATCCAAGATGCCGTCATCGCGGTGTTCGATCTCGGTGACGCTCGTCACACAGCATCGACGGCTCGCAGCGCGCAAAACACGCGCGAACGCGGTGCGAGAGCGCGAAACACGGCATGGAGTGAGCATTCTGAGCCGACTGGGCAGCACATGCAACACATGTCTAGCAGAGTCTGTCCGTTTTTTTTCCTTGCTCCAAGAAGGCTTGGGTTAAATGACGTCATCATTGAACCTGTAGCCTTTTGGCACCTATAACACTTTTGGGAATTGAAATGGGAGCATGCCAAAACAGAATTGTCTGCCTTTGGGCCATATGGCCATATGTGGCCTTCTTCTAACTTTTGACCCAGGCCGCTGTCTGCGTGCAACTGGGATCTCTACTGAGTACCATTCTTGCAAGCAACTGATGAATCTGCCGATCAGCCGCGGGCCACAAGTGTCTTTTTCGCCGAGCCCATCGCATCACTCGATCTCTATCCTGCGATAGACAGCGGGCCATCTCACTTGTCCACCAGCTGAATGGAGACAAAGTGCGGGTGATGCACAGTCTCTGCGACGACCTTTTTGCTACGCATCTCCTGGTCATAGAAGGTTCACCCATGGAAGTTGTCCACATTCACTGGAAGGTTGTCCCCTTCAAACACATTCCTTGATTCAATGATCCTAATGCTGCCTAGTAGGCAGTCAATCGTGCCCCCATCCCGGCACAAAACAAACACAAGTCCAAGATCTCCTGGTCATCCAAACGTAGCAGTTGAGTGATGCCCAATTGGTTGGCCACCACCACGCGTCGCAGGGCTTTGGGCAACTCCTCCTCCCCTCTTTCGCCCTCCTGCGGTCAGGCGGTGTTGCTCTCATTGCCTCCGGGTTCCCCCTAAAGCCAACAAACACATCGAGAGGAAGCGCCTACAGCGCCTATGTTTTTCCACGGGTTCCCATGGATTCATCCCTACAGCGCTTGGCTACACAACTGTAACGAGATCTTCAGGAAAACCAATCACTCTGAGTGGGTTTGGGTGGGACACCAGCCTTGAGCGCCGTCTGCGCGCGCTCCAGAAGCTGCGAAGCCTGGCCAGAAGCAGAAGAGCGCAACACCCCCCAGCAAAAAATCCTCGTTTTCATGGGTTTTCCATTTGTTTTGTTTGTTCAAGAACATCGGTTTTTCCATGTGTTTGTTCAAGAAAATCATCGTTTTCATGGTTTTTCCATTTTTTTTTGAACATCGAGTTTTCCATGTGCTTTTTTTCAAGAAAATAATCGTTTTCATTGGGTGTTCCATACGTTTTTCGAAGAAAATGGGACCAGGCCGACCGGTTGCCCCCCCAAAATCCTATACCTGGAAGGTCGTTTGCCACGTATAGCTACATGGTGGACTGGTGGGACTCCTGAAATGAAAAGACCCAAAAAGCCCATAATTCTGTAAATATTCAAGCCGCTCCACCAAACCATATTTTCCTCTTCGTGTTCAC